CCCCCCCCCCCCCCCCCCCCCCCCTCACCACCGCTGCCGCAGATTGCGCCGTGTGCGCGGCCGGGTACTCCCCCGGCTACTCCCGCACCTGCAAGTCCTGCATGGGGAACAGCAAGAAGAGCGCGCTAGTTTTCGCCGCGGCTATCGGACTTCTTGCCCTGGCCGCGGTAATGGTCCTGGTCTCCAGACTCGTGTCTGTCGTCGAGGTGGGCCCGCGGCAGCAGCAGCAGCAGCAGCAGCAGGGGAGCAAGGGTTGGAGGCGGACGTGCTCGGCGTTGCAGGCGCGCGTGAGGCAGACAGTGCCGCTGACGGCGGTGAAGATTGTGGTTGTCGTGTGGCAGATTGTGACACAGGTATGCATGTGGTGTGTGTTTAGCACGTCGACCGCGCAAATCCAACGAAAATGCTTCAGTCTCGGTGCGGGTGAAAACGCGAAATTCTTCTGTAGGTCATGGGCTGGGACACGTGGGGGGGCTTTGTGTGTTCATGTGTGTGTGTGTGTGTGTTGAGCTAGAATCGACCGCGTTAACCGGCTGGCCAATGAGGAGACCCTATTCACATAGCGGGGTGTTTGGTGTTCGTTTGACTAGCGTCGACTGCGCTCACGGGCAGACCAATGATACCGACGTGGGCGATACAAAACGCGAACATGCCTTCGATTGGGAGGGTCGTGTGGTTCTGTGTGTCGCATGTGTGCTTCCAAGCTTCATGTGTGGTATCTTTCATCAGCATCGACTTCCTAGTTTGTGTAGTGTCTTCATCAGCACCGACCGCGGCAACCGGCTGACCAACGACACAACGTGTGTCGCTGTCGGGGTTTTATCATTCGGCATCGACCCCGCTAGGTAGGCAGCTGACAATGAATGCACCGCCTCTTCTTCCAAAGCCGGATGGGAAAACCTGAACACGGTACACCGGCATCAGGCTCCCCCCGAACTCGCGGTTTGCCTGCATTGCCCGCGTGACTTTATTCGCTTTCGTCACCTACAAAGTGCTAACTCTACCGCCTACCGACCCCCGGCCTCCTGCCTTGCAACTTCAGTACTCCGACGTGGCCGGCATCGAGTACCCGGGCGCGTACCAAGACTTCCTGTCGGTGGTCGACGTCGTCAACCTCGACCTCGGCTTCATCCTCTCCTTCGCTTGCGTGTATGACACCAACTTCTACGACAGGCTGCTGATGGCGACGATAGGGCCCGTGCTGGTGCTCGGCCTCCTGGGCTGCACGTACGTGGTGGCCCGTCGTCGTAACCGACACTGCGAAGAGGTAGGCGTGACGCCGCCGAAGTTTATTTTTCTTTTTTTCGGTGTGAATTTCGTCGGCGTTTCCGTTGCCGGCGTGGAGACTACCGTATATGACACAAGATACCACACCCCCTCAGACGAATTTTTAAGTCTCGGGTTACTCTGCAGCATGAACATGCGGCGGTGCCGAAATGGCGGCGGAACCGCCGCTGCGAAGCGGTGTGGCTCAGGCCGTTGGCTGTGCTTTTCGAGAGAAGAGGAGGGCTATGCCACTCGCACGTCGCCTCCGGGGCGCCGCGGGTGCGAGATAAGGGGAGGGGTAGGGGGGGGTAGGGTCCTTTCGAAAAGCGTGTGTGAACGCCGGGATGTCGCGGTGTGTCTTGGCCTTCCATCATCCCACACCTCCTTCCTTTTTTTTGTCGTTGTCCTACCTCTGCTTGCCCCCCGCAGGCCATGCGCGACGTTCAGCGCCGGCACCTCTCCGTGACCCTCTTCGTCATGTTCGTCATCTACGCCGCCGTCTCCTACACCATCTTCGAGACCTTCGTGTGCGACACGCTGGACGACGGGAACTCCTACCTCCGCGCTGACTACTCTTTGACCTGCGACACCCCGCTCCACACCGCGTACCGGGTGTACGCCGGGCTAGCGGTCCTGGTGTATCCCGTGGGCATCCCGTGTATTTTTGGCTGGTGGCTGTTCAAGAACCGCCACGAGCTGAAGCAGGAGGACCGCGAGGGCCAGGCCGAGCTTAGGCCGGCGGCGGACCTGTGGGAGCCGTACAAGCCGAGCGCATACTACTACGAGGTGAGACGATGTTGTCATGTCGCATTGATGCATTGATCTCCTTTGTGGTGGAGTGGTAGGGTTGTACCATTGGTCTGGTGTTGCTTGTTGGGCTTCATTGTGCTGCCTAGTTTTCACTATCCCCTCGGATTCTCGTTGCAACCAATCCGACTCGTGATAGCGTCACTGACCCACTGACCCATCTGCGCCCCCCCCCCTAGGTGGTTGAGTGCTTCCGGCGTATCGCCCTCACCGGGTTCGCGGTCTTCATCTACCCGGACAGCTCCGCACAGGTGGCGATCGTTCTACTCCTCGCAGCAGTCTTCATGGTGGTGTCTGAGATCCTGTCGCCCTTCGCCCGGCCCGTCGAGATGTGGCTCTACCGCGCCGGACACTACGTGGTCTTCGCAAGCATGTACCTGGCCTTGCTGCTGCGGGTGGATGTCTCCGACGAGCGCGACCAGAGCCAGGAGGTAAGAAGGAACAGCGGTAACGTGAAAAGTTGTGTTTGCTTTCTCCGAAAAACAAACAATTTTTCACAAAAGCTTGGGTGACTAGAGAGTTCGTGATTGATACACCGGCGACAACTTGTCTTGCTCTTCGGAGCCCACTCATTCGGGTGAAATTTGCTTCGTCCTTTCCGCTAGTTGCTCCGGGTGGGGAGAAGGGGTGGAACGGGTTCGTTGCTCTCTCTCTCTCTCTCTCTCTCTCTCTCTCCCTACCTCCCTACCTCCCTACCTCCCTCGCGTATGTAGTATGTACACCTCTTACGCTGCCTCGCTTGCCACAATGTCCCATGCTGCCCTTCACAGGTCTTCTCCGGAGTAATCGTGATGGCTCACGTGGCCATGTTCCTGGTAGTCGTGGTACAGGGCCTGCTCATCTTCGTCGGATGGGACGGCCTGGTGGACGCTCCGGACGTCCTAGTGGGGCGCGAAGTGGCCGTGTCCGCCGCCACCGCCGACGCCAACGACAACGTCGACTTCTGGGGTGTCGCGGGCTTCGGATCGAGGGGAGGAAGCACCGACGACGGGAGCAACGAAAACCCCGGCTTTCTCGGCGTAGCTGCCGCCGCTGCCGCTGCCGCCGCTGCCGCCGCCGCCGACACCGGCACATCGAGCGGCGGCGCCGTCGTGAAGGGGAAGGCGGCGGAGGGCGGCGGCGGTGTCGACAAGGCTAACAAGAAAAGGCGGGAGACCTGGGAGCGCCCGCTGCCGAACGCCAGGGACAGCTTCTTTTCGAGCGCGAGGCAGCCCGGTCTCGAGGAGGCGGCGGCGGCGGCGGCGGCGGGCGCCACCGGCAAGGGCGGCCGTGACAACGCGGCGAGATTCACGAGCGCTCCGGGGAGATCGGGTCCCAGCGGCAGCAGTGGCGGCGGCAGCAGTGGCGGCGGCGGCGGCGTTGGACGTGGACGTGTCGCCGACGGCTGTTCGGCGAAGAGGGTTGTGCGGATGTCCACGTCCTGGGCGTCCTCTGCAGGCGGGGAAGCGGGCAAGGGCCCCCGTCTCCTAACGGTGCCAACGAGTACGTCGTGGGCGCCCGGGGAGAACGGCGCAGCAGCAGCGGCGGCGGCGGTACACAGCAACAAGATGGCGTCGAACAACACGTCGTCGTTGCCGGCGGAAAAGGGGGAAAAAATCGACCAAGAAGAGACTAGGGGGAGCAGAAAAAAACCGCCGTCGCGCAGCAGCCAAAAGAAAAATGGAGGAGGCGACGACCGTTCTCGATCGGGCCAAGATCCTCCGAGGAAAGAGAGGGACCCCAAAAGTCGGGTGGTGGGGGCAAACACGTCTTGGGCGTCCTCGACGGGCGGCGGGGGCGCAGCTCCGAAGGTGGGGGGCCCGCAGAAAGGAGGCCACGATCGGTCGAGCAAAGCGGCGGGAGAGGATGCCCGTTTACCGGTGGTGCGGGCTAGCGCTTCCTTGGCATCCTCGACGGCGGCGGGGGGCGGCGCGGCTTACACCGGCAAGACGGTGTTCAAGACGATGCCGGTGGGCCACGGGCAGCAGCCAGCAGACGAGCGGAGCAGAAATCCGGCTGCAAATACGCCGTCGAAGTCGCTGGGCCCGAACAAAGCGGGCCACGAGCGGTCGAGGAAAAAAGGGGGAGAGGACCCCGGATACCCGGTCGTGTGCGCTAGCGCCTCCTGGGCATCGGGGAGGGAGGACGGAGGCGGCCCTGCTTCGGCGACATATCTCAGCGAGACCGCGCTCAAGACGATACCCACGGGGATAGCAGTGCGGGCAGACGAGAGGGGCAGAAAGCCGGCTGCTAGGCCGCTGTCTCTGGGACTGACCAAAGGGGGGTACGACCGTTCTCTCTCCGGCCAGGATCCTCCCACGAAGCCTCCGAAGTTCAGCGACCTGATGGGTCAACGGACGACAAACAAGTACGCGGACGATGGCGGTGACGCCGGTGGTATCGCCGTTGGGATGACCTCCTCGCCCCGTTTGAGCGCAGATCCCGGTGCGACGTCAGGTGGGATGCTAGCGCCCCCGAGGGACCACGCTTCCTCGGGTCCTGATCCCGCACCCCGAGAGTCTGACGGAGGCGTTGTCCTTGACCGGGTAGGCTCGGCGGCGTCGTCGAAGCCCGAGCCGGCCGGAAAGAGAGGAGGGAGGGCGGCCAAAGGAGAGGAAGGCACCAACAAACAGGCCGCCGGCGGTGGGAGCGGGGGGCGCGGTCGAGGACACGGGGTACGACGGGAATGGGAAAGCGGAACTGCTGCTGAGAGGATCGCGACGAAGGTGTCGCCGCCGGGTGATGTCGACAAGCTCTCCTCGTTGGGGGGCCAGGTGGGGAAAACAACACCTGATACTGCTGTATGGTACGCACCGGCAGAGCTGCGATAGTAGCGCGCCCGCCGGTCAATCTTGAGCTTCTTTCTCAACGCAACACGCGATGGGTTGCAACATGTAAGGAGCCAGTGGCAAAGGTGTCGGCACAGGGGGGTCGCTGGCACCCCCATCACATACAAGTACTATTGCGTCGTAGTACCCCTCCCCTACCCTGAACACTATCATGATTGCATTTTTGGTGCACGTGGCTCCACGCAATGGTGCAGGTTGGTCTGTTCGCGACGCAACCGCCACCGAACAAGACCGTGGGAGAAAACATTCGGGTTTGGGAGTCATCGTCCGCCGCCGCAACCAAAGGAGGGCGGGGCCAAGCTGCCGGACGATCGCCCAATGGCAGCCTCAACGCTCCTTCCTTCACGAGGGACTTCAGGTCGCTGTCGGGTAGCTCCTTGGGCGGCGAGTCGGGATGGAGCTTCGGTGGCCTAGGGGGCGGTGGCGGCGGCGGCGGCGGTTTCGCGGGCAACGCGAAGCGGTCGTTTTTCCCGGAGCCGTTGGCGCCGCTTTGTTCTTCGCCGGCCGGTGCTGCCGCCGCTGCCACCGCGCGCGGCGATACCACCAGCAGTGTGGTGAGTTCGAACACCCCCGCGAGCAGCCGCGTCGGCGGGGGCTGGCCGGCAGGCCTGTGGAGCCGCAACAGGAAAGAAATCATTGATCACTACGGGAACGGGGGCCCAGAGAAGGCGTGGGGGGGCTCGGTGACGTCGAAAACGAGACCCACGCCGGCTGCCGCCGCCGGCCGGGGGAGCGGTCGAGGACACGTGGCAGGACGGGAACCAGAAAGCGAAACTACTGCTGCTGTTGCTGTCGAGAGGGTCGCGACCAAGATGTCGCCACTGGGAGGTGTCCGCAGGCTGTTGCCGTTGGAGGGCCAGGTGGGGAAAATGACACCACTACGGTAATTTAACTTCATTGGACAGACGACGTTTACGGACCCGGTGCGAAAAGCGCTACCGTTTCCTTTTGAATGCATGCGTGTGGAAAGGAGGCGGGGGAAGAGCGGTCCACCGGCGGTCCAACAGGCACCCAGAACAGAGAAAGGGGAAGAGGGTGTGCATCGCGCAGTAGTTGCACTGTCGCGCCCGCCAGTCAACCTTGTCTCTCAACGCAACACGCTTGAAGTATGGTACCGTTTGGTGGGTACTGCGAGGTGTGGATACAGGGGTCGCCATGGCACCCCGTCACAGCAGTACTTCCTGCGTCGAACGACGCCTCCCCTGAAGTTTACGTGTCATGATTGCGTTTTCTGGTGCACGTGGCTCCACGCAATGGTGCAGGTTGGTCTGTTCGCGACGCAACCGCTACCGAACAAGAACGTGGGAGGAAACATTCGGGTTTCGGAGTCATCGTCCGCCGCCGCAACCAAAGGAGGGCGGGGCCAAGCTGCCGGACGGTCGCCCAATGGCAGCCTCAACGCTCCTTCCTTCACGAGGGACTTCAGGTCGCTGTCGGGTAGCTCCTTGGGCGGCGAGTCGGGGTGGAGCTTCGGTGGCCTGGGGGGCGGTGGCGGCGGCGGCGGCGGTTTCGCGGGCAACGCGAAGCGGTCGTTTTTCCCGGAGCCGTTGGCGCCGCTTTGTTCTTCGCCGGCCGGTGCTGCCGCCGCTGCCACCGCGCGCGGCGATACCACCAGCAGTGTGGTGAGTTCGAACACCCCCGCGAGCAGCCGCGTCGGCGGGGGCTGGCCGGCAGGCCTGTGGAGCCGCAACAGGAAAGAAATCATTGATCACTACGGGGATGGGGAGCCAAATGCCCGTACGGATCGAGAAGCAGATTGAGGACGAGTAGGTTGTTTCTTGCGGTCTTGAGCAGCAAAAATCAAACAGATTGTTCGAGGCAGAAGAAGCGATGGAGCGCGCTGAATACTGGTACTGCTATGGGTAGGGTTGCCAACCGGAGGCGCGTCGACGGGTGTGTACGTTTGCGAGGACCTCCATCGCGTCTGTTGCCGAAAGTATATATTCTTATGAAGTTGAATCCCATGTAGCATATCGTTCGAGATCTTCGTTTTTCAGTGTGCTTGTTTCCACTTGATTTTGACGATCGGTAAAAACTTGTCTGTATGTAGTAGAGGTTCTGAAGTGTAGAAACAATAAAATGATTGACATACTATTTTCTTGCCACCCACGAGGCGTTGTAGACTTTGCTTTCTATGTTGCTTTCCCTGGCATGCTGAATGTGTGGGTGGAAGGCGGGGATAGCGGACGGGCACCTGAAGTTTCTCGCAGCTCTTCATAATATTACATACATTCGGTGCGGAAGTAACACACCGATTCAGGCATAGAATGTAGAGAGAGGGGTGCCCTGAAGGTCGTTGACTGTTTTCATAGTACGTTGTTCTTGCCTTGAAGTTATTAAGAGAAACGTTTCGGTCTGTGCTCAGTGCCTTCAAATATCCGTCCCAGTCCAACTGACGCGGACGCCTTTCGTGGTCTACGGGCCAACTACTGCGTGGATATTCTACCCCAAAAGGGTACAACATTTCAGCTTTGAAATCGAAAAGGAACAAAAAAGAACTGAAAATCCTGTAACAGACTCGAGAGCAGGTCACAACAAACAAGCCGGGAGACCATCGAGCCGGGAAAAAACAGAAATAGAAACTAGGAAAAGGCTCTATGCCCCATTGAGAAGAAAAGAAGAGTCCATCGCTCCTGCACGGCACAAGATGCCACGAGCCACACACAAAAAAAACTTCGACTGCTGTGGACAAATATATATCTCGAACGGGTAGTATTTCTATGTTTCCATGAAATATTTAGCAGCTTCTGCAGACAGAGATATTTCACAGACTTCACCTCCGCGTTGCGGTACCGGAGTAGATCCTTCCACCGGAGAACGGCGTACAAGAGGCCCGCAGCGGCTCAAAACTTCCATGGAAAATATGACAATGGGTCTAAGAAACCTAAGCGATGAGTCCAACACGAGAAAGTCCCTAGCCACGTTGCTCGACAGTGGCGAAGAAAAATGAAGTCGATCTTCGACCGGATTGTGACGGTTCTTATCTCCGGGCCCGTCCTGAATTGCTCTCCTTGTCCAAGATCGATCGCAGGGTATGAAAATCGAAGATGGTAGTGAACAACGTGCTGTTGTAATAAAAAGACATTTGCGTACAAAACCATTCGTTCCGTATACTTACGCTGAAAAAGTTCCAACTACAGATGATGTAGAATCTGATGTGGATCACGGCCATGGGGGACTGACACGACAACGGGGGACTGCGAGAGCAATTGTTGCGCACAGTTTTCCATCCCGACCACCGCCATCTATCATTTATTTGTGATTGTCAAGATCTTTGTCGCAGAATGGGATGACCGGAACGAATAACGAGGATGCAGATGATTTGTGTCCGAGTACGTACTTGTAGTTCTGACGGTTGTTTCTACTAGTGAAGTGTAGTGCTTCTTCTCTCATGCACAACATGCCATGCATGCCCAAATCGAATATTCGGAGTTTCCGGCGAGTTCCATGTGCTGCTGTGTTGTGTGGCGTGCCCAGTCGATGCAGCCAAGTCTATAGCGTTGGAACTCACCTGCCTGGCAAGAGCGTAGTACACTGTATGAATTCACTCCCGGGGAGCGTTTGTGGTAACGGTCACCACGTTGTTTCGCCGTTGGGAAGCCCCTGTCCCGTCGATTTGAACGAAGCAAGAGACAAACAAAACCTAACCAGTGCCCCCTTCACCGTGCATTGATGATCTTGGAGCACGCTCCCACCCACAGGGGCGCTACTTACGATCATGTTTCTGTGTTGGGGGGTGGGGTCGGACTAGCGTGCAGTGCTCTGTCGGAAAGCACTACGCGTAGTGTAGCCTGCAAGCGAAATCAAAATGTTCCGGGGTCTGTATGGCACACAGATGGTGTCGTCGTGGGAGTTTACTGCTTAGACTAGTGGGAGTTTACTGCTTAGACTACAGTGTAGTACATCTTTCCGGTGTCCCGACAAAGTGTCGCCCAGCTGAATATGAACGCGTTACGCTCGTGGGAGGGAAAACTGCGGGTACAGTAGGGGGGGAGAAGGGGAGCCGACAGCAGCGCGAAACGCGGGATGCAGCGATTCGTGGCGATAACATGTGCTTCTACAAGCAGCCCATCACCGGCAGGCCAGGGACCGACAAGCAGAGAATCGACCCGCGTGTCGAACACCACTGCGGAACGGTCGGTAAATCTTGCTCTTTCGTTGCGGCCTAGACTATTCAGGAAAATCTTCATCGAGATTTCTCTCGCTGACAAGGACTAGGCAGAGCTTGCTCTAAGGCGATCATCCCGTAAAGTCAGACGCATATTCGCATTGCCTGTTCAACGCGTGTTTGATGGGTATGTTGTTCTTTTCTCCTCACAATGAATGGCAACGGTTTTCAGCCAGCACATTGCACCCCCCCCCAAAAAAAACAAATCTGTCACTGGTGCCTCCCTCTCTGCTACATGTATTGTACAGTCGTCGCCGTGCCTTATTGATCCATCAGAAATGCTGCTTCTTTGCACTAGGCACTACAGTATAGTACGGTCCATCGACCTATTCGGTTGGACGGAGCATTCGAGGAGAGGCTGGTCGTTGAGGTGACCGCTTGAGCAAATAATAATTAACGGGGTGCTCAACGGTAAAAAATACTTTTGTTGACATTGAGGACGATACTACAGCACTGCTCCTCCCCATGACCTCCCCATGCGTGCGATGTGTGTAATCCTGATGTGTGTGGTGTCTGTTGCTCCCTCCCCCCCCCCCC